CAGCTACTTGGGAGGCGGGAGATTGGGAGGATCGTGGTTCAAGGCCACGGCAGGCAAACATTTGCAAGACTTCCTTGTTAACAATTCCAGGCTTGATGTCTCATTCCCACGTGAGAAGTATCAATAGAAGGATCCTGATCCAAACCACCTGGGCATAATTGCAAAGCCATATATTAAGAAAACCAAACAAACTGTTGTCTGGGTGGCAGGGACTAGCTCTCTGCGCAGTGGGCAGGGCCTGGGGCTGAGGAAGGCCTCTGATCCTGTGGTGTGGACGGGAGCAGCGTGCAGACATGCAGCCTGTTATTTAGGTTTTCAGGGAACCCTGGCTTCCTTCTTCTGTGTGTGTGGCCACAGCGCCACCTAGTGACAATGGCCACCAGTCCTGCCGGCTGAATGGTGAGCACATCTTGGTCTTGGATTTAGATGGTAGTACAGTAGGAACAGAAAGGAGAGTCTGGGAATTTAGATTGTATGGGTGGGTAAACTCCTGTTCATTCATTTTCACTGGCTCTGTTTGCCTGATCTAAGACTGGGGATAATGTCGATGACAGATTCTTAGGGTGCTGAGCTCACATCATCATCATCATCATCATCATCATCATCATCATCATCATCATCATCATCATTATTTTCTGGGATTGGGGATTGAATTCACAGTCTTGTTCTTAATATGCAAGTGCTCTACCACTTGAGCCAGACTCTCCCCTCTTTTTTGCTTTAACTTATTTATTATTTTAGTTATTTATTTTTTGTTGTTGGTCATGGGTCTTGAACTCTGGGCCTGGGCGCTGTCCCTCAGCTCTTCAGCTCAAGGCGAGCGCTCTACCACTTGAGCCACAGCACCACGTCCAGTTTTTCTGGTGGTTAATTGGAGATAAGAGTCTCAGGGACTTTTTTTTTTGCCCTGGCTGGCTTTGAACCACGATCCTCAGATCTCAATCTCCTGAGTAGCTAGGATTACAGGTCTGAGCGACTGGTGCCCAGCTTTTTTTTTTTTTTAAGGATAGAGTCTTGAGCTTCCTCCCCCCACCCCCCCCCTATTTGTGCATCTTGTGTAGCTGAGATTACGGACCCAGTTTGTTTGCTAAGGTGGCATCTCAACAGGGAGAATTATATCACCTGAAAATTACAGGACACACACATGTATAGAGGATGCGCACACACACACACACACACACACACACAAATATATATAAAGAAAATGATCTATATGTGACATGTACCAAAATATTCCTGTTGATTCTCTTTGATCTTGACAACATACCTTATGGTTTCTGTTATTTTTAAATTCACATTTTGTTTCTTGCCATAAAGTAAGAGTTCTCTTAACCCTGCGTGCGAGATTCATCCAACGTTATCTATCTGCTGGCTCATGAAAGTGGTTTTTAACTGGACACAGCGTAGATAGCTATTTTTGGTTGTGTGTGTATATGCACACATCTCCCGTGTCTAGTTAAACATTTCTACCTGTGTGCCACAATGTCCTTCACGTGCATTTTCTATAGGTCAAACTTTCAAGACAGTATAAGGAATTCCCTTCAAATTCACATCCACCCAACCAGATCTGACCCACTGCTAACCAAACATGTGACTGTGGTGCCCTCTTGTGGCTATTCAAGGAGTATGCACATGTTCAAGCAGTCCTCCAATCAGAACAAACACAAAGCAAACCCTGTGCTTTCTGCGGCACTGGTGTAAACCGTCCAAGGATTGGTGAGCACTAAGTGCTCAAAGTTGAACTTAACTCCAATGTTCACACTGGCCTGGGCAAGGTGGCCATGGGTGGAAGAGCCCTTTTGTTTGCTGAGGTACACAGAACTATGTGGTTCTAGCAGAGTGTGCATTCCTGTAAGTCCTGGCTTGGCTGTAGTTGTTTCCTTGCTCCCGAACTCTGAGGGGCCTTACTGTCCCCCCAGGGCTCAAACTCCAGGGGAATATTCCCTGTGGAGACACTCACCATCAAGCCATGTCTCAAGAGCTTGCACGTGCAGGCAAATGTGCAAATGTGAGAGCCTAGAGCTTGCTCACCCATTCACCAGAGACAAGACACCTTGAGATGCTGGATGCCGGTGCTGGTGGCTCATGCCTGTCATCCTAGCTACTCAGGAGGCTGAGATCCGAGGATCATAGTTCAAAGCCAGCCCAGGAAGGAAAAGCTATGAGATGCTTCTCTCCAATAAACTACTCAGAAAAGGCTGGAAGTGGTGCTGTGGCTCAAGTGGTAGAGCACCAGCCTTGAGCTAAAGAAGCTCATGGACAGCATCCAGGCCCTGAGTTCAAGCCCCAGGACTGGCACACATGTGTGCACGTGTGCGCGTGCACAAACACACAGAGACACAGATACCTGGAGACATGACTACCCTATACAGCAGGAGTGTGCCTATCAAGCTCACAATGATTACTTAAACAACCACTATGTGGGCTGCCTATGATGACAATCACCCCAAAATCCTGGGTGGGCTAAAGCCAAGTTCTGGGGGCAGCACCTTTATCTGCTCAGCATCCTTAAAATGAAAGCTTGGATCTGGCGACAGAAGAGGAGAGAAACTGCTCTGTGGAGTCCTGAACCCCCAGCCTCATGTTTGATTCACACTCTGGGGACAACCCCAAAAGACTCCACCAGAAGCTGTTCAGTGCAGATGCCCAGCAACTTTCTGTGATTTGCTTTTTAATACATTTTTTAAATTTAAAGATGGTATGAAATATGAAATATATATGCATTCAGGAAAAGTCATCCATTCATTCATTCATTGCCACTAATGAGACTTGAATGCAGGGTCTGGATACTGTCCCTAAGCTTTTTTCACTCAGGGCATGCTCTCTCATGTGAGCCAAGCTCCGTTTCCAGCTTTTCAGTGTTTAATTGGAGATAAGAATCACACTGGATTTTCCTGCTTGGGCTGGCTTTGAACTGTGATCCACAGATCTCAGCCCAAGTATCAAAGTTTGCAGGATTCTTATCTCCAAAGAATCAACAAAAAAAAAACAGAAATGGAGATATAGTTTCAGATATAGTTTCAGAAACAAAAAAAAGAAGAAGGAGGAGGAGAAGGAGAAGAAGAAGAAGAAGAAGAAGAAGAAGAAGAAGAAGAAGAAGAAGAAGAAGAAGAAGAAGAAGAAGAAGAAGAAGAAGCCGCCGCCCAAGGCTTGAATTCAAACCTCAGTAAGAGCAGACACAGGGGGAAAAATTACTAAATTTTTATGTCTTCCAATGTCAAAAGGCAATGTCCTAATAGATACCTTTGGGTATGACGCTTAGTCAGTGTTTCTGGAAAGTCCCTTAAGGTGGTTATTGTCCAGAAATGATTAGCAAAGTAGCTATTGTTTTATAAAGCCTGCCAGTCAGCCTTCTATTACTGCCATGGATACCAGAGATATATCAACTTATAAAGACAAAAAAGTTTTGTTTTGTTTTGCCTCACATGGAAATTTCAGAGCAATTCCCTATTGCTCTCCACAGGGAGCATAGAGAGGTAGAGGAGGCAGGGTCTCAAGGTCACCATCAAGGCCACACACCAATGACCTAAAGACCTCCCAGCTAGGCCTGTCTCCCCATAGCGCCCTCTAGTGGATCAAGCAGTGCTGAATGGCTGACTCTGTCCCACTTCCCCCTGGAAACACACCGTAAATGCATGGGCCACCATGCACACTCATCACGTGATCTATATCTCCACCAGTGATCATACTGCCCTTTCCCTGCCATTACTACATCAATAAAACACTGTCACCCTATGGCTGTAGCTCTAGCTCATTAAAATCCCTTACACTTTGAAGAAGAACCATTTCCACTTCCTAAATGTTGCAGAGGACTGAAAAAGAAAGCTCATTATCAACTTTGCAGCTCATTAGCAGACTTGCTCTGAATACACAACCACTCATTACTGCCGACAAGCCTCTCTGGCTTCCCTCTGTCCCAGGTTGCCTTCTGGGCATGACACTCTGAATGGGGAGGGAAGTGTGCTATGAAGGTCCTCTTATGTCCAATAACACGGCACCCCTCCAAACTGCAAGTGTGGATAAAGAAAAGACAAGGCTTATGGCTTAGTTCCAATTTCTATTTCTCTTCGTGAGACCCCAGGCTGCTAACCAAACCTCTATAACCAAACCCCTATGTGCCATGCTTTCTGTGGGCCACAGGGTCACCTGGCTGGCTCTTTGAGGACTAAAAGTATCAATATTTACAGCTGGAATAAGGAACTCAGTAAAGCATTTCCTCTCCCATCTCTTCTAAACAGTGGTCCTAACTCCAGGCTCCATTCACTGGTGACACCCATTGTCTCCTATAAATAGTATGTTGTATTTCATGATATATCTTTGTTGTTGTTGGTGGTGGTGGTTGTGGAGCTTGACCTTAGGGCCTGGGTGCTGTCCCTCAGCTCTCTTGCTCAAGGCTGATGCTCTACCACTTTGAGCCACAGCACCACTTCTGGTTTTCTCATGGTTCATTGGAGATAAGAGTCTCACAGACTTTTCCTGTCTAGGCTGGCTTTGAACCGTGATCCTCAGATCTCAGCCTCCTGAGTAGCTAGGATGACAGGCATGAGCCATGGGCACCTGGCCTCATGATCTATTCTTTTAAGCTTAGGATCTAACCACAGTCTCTCAACAATGAGAATCAAGGACAATATTCCCATGGGGTTGAAGGTTATTTGTATCCCACAAACATATACGGTTACCGCACCCAAATTACTCACCCCTAACCCCAGGCAGACTCTGGGCTCCAAGATCTCAGCCTCTACATTATGCCCTCCATGCTTTGCTCATGGGGCCGAGAATGCACTCCGTTTTTATCTTCCCCAAGGCAATGGCCAAGGATTTAGGCTTTACTCTGAAGTCTGCTTCTCAGGACTCCTTTTCAGAGTGACTGACAGGGTCCCAAGGCCCTTGGGTGCTCAGGGAGCCCAATCCCTCCCCCTGCTCCCCCCCTTGCATTGCTGTCTGGGCATGCTTCCCAGCCTGTAGTCCAGGCCCTGGCCCCTCCAGGGCTTTGCGCTCACCGCATGGTGTACAGCAGGGTGCCATCGTCCTCCAGCCGCAGCAGCTTGTTGGGCGTGGTCATGTTGTGGGCGATGGATTTCTTCCCGTTGTGGAAGAACGTGTCCGGGGTCCAGATTTTGCTGGCGAGCAGGTTGTTGAGAGGCAGGCGCTGCATGGGCCCCTTGAAGCGCAGCCGCTCGTCCTTCCAGCTCTGCCGGAAGAACACGTCGATGGTGTATTCCTGGAGGCAAAGGAAAGGCGTTGGGGTGGCGCCTGAGCCACGGGGGGAAGTTCTTCCCAGGGTGATTTAGTGAGGGCGGAATGCATGGGCCCAGGCCCCGGGGAACTTACCATTTCTGTGTCTGACACTGGGCCGAAGCTGGTCACGTAAATGTCGGTCCGGACCTGCGTGATTCGCTCTGAAACACAGACGCTAGGCTGCAGCCCGCTGGCATGGATGGTCATATTCTGCTCACCTGTTCGTGTGTGTGTGCGCGCGTACGTGCAGGGACTTGAACTCAAAGCCTGAGACATGGTCCCTTGGCTTTTTCGACTCAAGCCTAGGGCTCTAACCCTCTACTTCTGATGTTTAAAAAAAAATTGAGGATGAAGAATCTCATGGACTTCTCTGTTTCCAGGCTGCTTTACAACCAGGATTCTTGAGTCTCAGCCTCCTGAGTAGCTGAGGATCGCAGGCGTGAGCCACCATGGCCTCCTGCGTCTTCAACAGCATCCAAGCACTGGTTCCTCCCTAAGTGACTAGAGTGGACACTAAGATTATCTGGGAAGGCCAAGTGCCCATGGCTCACGCCGGTCATCCTAGCTACTCAGGAGTCTGAGATCTGTGGGTCATGGTTCATAGCCAGTCCAGACAGGAAAGTCTGTGAGACTCTTATCTCCACTGAACCACCAGAGAACCAGAAGTGGAGCTGTGGCTCAAGGTGATAGAGGGATAGCCTTGAGTAAAACAAAAGAAGAAAAGCTCAGGGACAGTGCCTGGGGCCCTGAGTTCAAGCCCCAAGACTGGCACGCACACACACACAAACCCAGGAAGATGGAAGTTGGCACAGGGATATTTTAAAGGCAAACACTGCCTCGAGCTGAAAATAACCAAGACTGCACATCCTTGGCAAGACTTAGAAAGCAATCATCCAATCCAGAGCCATGGTCAGGGTAGCGCTTCCCAGGATTGGGTCCCAGCAAACACAAGTCAGCCAATGAGGGGCGGAGCTTTCCATACACTCTTCCCAGCCCAGCCAATGAGGGGTGGAGCTTTCCAGACACACCTCCCAGTCCAGCCACACATGCCTCTCAGCCCAGCCAATAACAGGCAGAGCTTTTCACACACACCTCCCAGCCCAGCCAATGAGAAGCGAAGCTTTTCACACATGCCTCCCAGCCCAACCAATGAGAGGTGGAGATTTCCAGACACGCCTCCCAGACCAGCCAATGAGAAGCGAAGCTTTTCACACATGCCTCCCAGCCCAGCCAATGAGAGGTGGAGCTTTCCCACCTCGGCCCCCCCCCACCCATCCTCACAGGCCTCGGCCTCAGCAGCGCGTGCGCACACTCACCTCCCAGCCCAGGCCTCAGTCTATTGTCATAGCCATCCAGCAGCCCGTCCAAAATCCTGGTGAACACTGTGATGTTGTCATTCGTCTCCGCTTTCACTGAACTCGTTGGCATTTGTGAAAAGCTTTTCCAAAAGAGAAAACCAAGAAAGCTAACATTTGCATTGCTTCACAATAAGATATCATAATACTAATACTTGTTTTTTATTGTGATGATCTCAGGGCTTGAGTGCTGTCCCTGAGGGCTGGTGCTCTACCACTTGAACCACAGCTCCACTGCACCACTTCTGGTTTTCAGATGGTTAACTGAAGAGATGAGTCTCACAGATTTCCCTGCCCTGGCTGGCTTAGAACTGGTATCCTCAGCTCTCAGCCTCCTGAGTAGCTAGAATTACAGGCGTGAGCCACTGGCATCTGGCTACAAGATATAATTCTAAAGATTCACAGTCCATGCCTCCTTTTTATCTCATCTTAGCGGGAGGGCATTTGCAAAGCTTAGTCTGTGCAGGGGGCATGGTTTACTTTGAATAAGTCTTAGTGCTTAAAACGCCCGCATTTTGCTCTGGGCTGATGTCCTTCCACTTAACCAATGGGCCAAAATATGCTATGTTATGAGGAGCTATTTATTATCCACGCCGTTAGTCATTTATGAAACAAATTAGCTCCTGTGCAGGGACTGGCAGAGCCTAATCCATGCACAGGGGATTCCAAAAGTTTGGTGTAAGTAGAAGAAAGCGGAGTTTGCAGGCCCTTAATGAACCACCCATAATGCACCCCAGGGTGGACAGGAGGATGCGGCTTAACTTTGCTCATGTTGGAAGATGAGGTTGATGCGCCCCAAGCTCACCGCATCCTTAGTGGCCTGGGGGAATGGAGACTGTGGATACAATGCCAGGATTAGAGCAGGTAAGGCCAGAAATGATCAAGTCTGTGATATACTTCAGAGTTCTCAGTATGGCCAGCTAATGGCCACATTGTCTGTCACCCAGTATCTTAGAATCACAATGATACCCTCAGGAAGCCAGGCACCAGTGGCTCACACAGGCTGAGCTCTGAGGATCGTGGTTCAAAATCAGCCCTGGCAGGAAAGTCTGTGAGACTGTTATCTCCAACGAACCACCAGAAAACCTGAAGTGGTGCTGTGGGTCAAGTGGTAGAGTGCTAGCCTTGAACAGAAGAGCTCAGGGACAGTGCCCAGGCCCTGAGTTTAAGTTCCATGACTGTCCAAAAACAAAACAAAAACAATAACAAAACCCAGAAACCTGGGGTTATTTAGTAACGTAACATTATCCAGGCTCCAAAAGCATATGCAAAGCTGGGCACAGGGCACTTCTAGCTAGCTATTTAAGAGGCTGAGATTTGAGGATCACTATTCAAAGCTAGCCCAGGCAAACATTCTGGGAGATAGTTTTTGTTTGTTTTTTCTTTCTCTCCAGTCCTAGAGTTTGATCTCAGGGCCTGGGCACTGTTCCTAAACGTTTAATTAATTGATTGATTTTTGCTCAAGGCTGGTACTCTACCATTTGAGCCACAGTTCCACTTCTCGATTTTTGGTAGTTAATTCTCCAATTAACTTGTGGACTTTCACCCTGGCTCTCTTGGAGCTACTATCTTCAGATCTCAGCCTCTTGAGTAGCTAAGATTACAGGCATGAGCCACCAGTGAGCCACCAATTAATCATCAGAACACTGGATGTGGAGATGTGGCTCAAGGCATAGGACACTGAGTTTAAAAAGCCAGTAGGAGCACAAGGCCCTGAATTCATGCTCCAGGGCCTCCTCCCTCCCCACACCTTATGAAGATAAAGTAGATGGAAACCAGAATTGATCTGTCTACATGCAATCAGTGAAAATGAGAAAGGCAGGCACACGCCAATTCTGACCTCAGCATCTCCTTGGGCAAGCCTAGAAGGTTCTCTGAGAAAGCAAGTCTGCAAGCCAGAAGTCAGCAAGGAATCTGAAGGGTTTGAATCTCACCTCAGGTATGCAAACAGCACTGCACCTGCAGACTGGGCTCGATTTCAAGGATGCACAGGAGAATCCTGGGCCAAAGCTAGCTGGGCCTTCCAAATAACCAACACCTTTGGCACTTGAGCAAAAGAGTATTTGACTCTTGGTACACCACAGAAAAGCCTGGCTGTAGGCCCCAGCACTGCTAAAATGCTTTCTCTGCCTCACTGTGGCTGAAATTACAGTGGCGAGTCTCTTGATGTATCCACTGCGGGATGCAGAGGTCGGAATGGATGCGTGCCTACCTCACCGACTACTTGGAAATTGGTCCTTGTTTTTCATTGATTGTATCTAAGCAGATCAATTCTTCACCGGACCTACAGCTATTTCCCAAATAGCTAATTTTTGAGCCAGCGTTAGAATGCAGATAGCTGGAACTAAAATTCAGTTCTGTTATCTCAGAGAATAGAAACATGTTTTACTTTCTGACTTAGTATATTAAAATATTAGTCCCTCACCCTTTTTCCCCCCTAACATCCATGGTAATTCTACACTTCAGGAAGATAACGCACTAAGCCTCACATTGCTAATGTCAGAATAGAAAGCCTTGAAACCGCCTAGGGTTATGCTGTTTTTGTTTTTTGGACAGTCATGGCTATGCAGGAGGCTGAGATCTGATGATCATGGTTCAACCAGCCCAAGCAGGAAACTCCATGAGACTGTTATCTTCCATTAACCACTAAAAACCCTGAAGTGGCACTGTGGCTCAAAGTGGTTGCACTAAGCCTTGAGTGAAAAAGCTCATGGACAGTGCCCACGCCCTGAGTTCAAGCCCCACAATGACCACCACCACCAACAACAACAACAAAAGGAGACATAGGGAGCAGATTCTTTAAAAAAATTCTTTGTTGCATGCTGTGGCTCACACCTGTAATCCTAGTGACTCAGGAGGCTGAGATCTGAGAATGATGGTTCGAAGCAGCCCAAGGTTAGAAGTGGAGGTGTGGCTTATGTGGTAGAACACCAGCCTTGAGGAAAAAAAGCTAAGCAACTTGCCCAACCTTTAAAGTCTGCTTTAAAGCTAAAGACTCACTCCAGCTTGCTCTGCTCCTTTTATGGCTCGTGGAAAGCATTGGAGAAACAAAATGGCACAGAAATCTTAGGCCATCAGGATAGGCAACGCCATGTTCTGTTTCATTGAACACTCAACTAGGTTCCCAGGCAACACAGCCTGCTGAAATTCCTGCTCAGGTATTTTTTTTAAACCCCAGAGAGTTCTTTTTAACCCCATAGAGCTCTGTTCACCCTAAGTCAGCCTCTCATCTCAAGACATATTAAAGGCCCTGCTCTGTGACAAGCATTTTGGTGAGACATGATATATGACTATTGGCAACTGCCTTACCTATAAAAGAATAGCTTTGCTGAGTGCTGGTGGCTCACGTCTGTAATCCTAGCAACTCAGGAGGCTGAGATCTGAGGATTGCAGTTCAAAGCCAGCCCGGGCAGGAAAGTCCATGAGACTCTTATCTCCAATAAACCACCAGAAACCCGGAAGTGGAGGTGTGGCTCAAAGTGGTACAGCATGAGCCTTGAGCAAAAGAGCTCAAGGAGAGTGTGCAGGCCTTGAGTTCAAGCCCTATGACTAACAACACCAACAACAAAAATCACTTTTTACATTTTCTTGCCTAAATATGATCAGTCTATATGAAAGACACAATGACTTGATTCTAATGCTTTTACTTTGAAGAATAATAAAGGTTCCAGCCTGAGGAAGAAAGGGATTGTTGGTTGATGATGGTGACAGGCAGGGTGGTGGCTGGAGTGGTGTCTCAGAGCCATGCGATGACCCCCATCCCAACTTGAAGTTCTAGGTCGCTTAGAGCCTTCTGATGATGAACCAGCATGCCACAACACTTGATCCACCAAGAGATTCATTTCATCAGCACAGTGTCTAAGAGAAAAGTCCCTTCCAAGTGTGCGAACCTCCCACTCCCCCCCCCCACCATTGCATCATCCTTGGGCTCTGAAACTCTTGCATTCACTGGCTTCTAAGCCTTAGAGACTCAGTTTTAATTGATCAGAGAGAAAATAGGAGCCAGTGACCCCAGCCTCTGTGACCTTCCTTTACAGTCATGACAGAAAATAGGTGGGCTAAGGCTTGGATAGAAGCAGAAAAGATGCCCTCGGACCAACTGTTAGTGATGCCAACAGCCTCTGAGAGGCTTCCTCCAATGTCTCCAGAGAGGCCCTGCCATTGGGTCTGACGCCTATTCCACCTCCATACCCTGGGTATGCCAGGCAGCAGATACTGAGACAGGCACTGGGGAAATGAGGCTAGAAGATGGTCCCAAACTCATCCAGGACATGTCCGCCTGCAGTAGGAATCAGCTGGGGCCTGAGGGGATTAGAGTAGATCATGGGAGAGGTGGGGCCTCGTGGGACTGTGCAAGGCACGGCAGGAACACAAAGGAGAGAAAACGCAAGCTCTGTCTGGGGTTGTTGTCTCCTGACAATGATTTGAGTCCCAGGGAGGGCTGCAGGAGGGTCTTGTTCGCAGCAGCTTCCAAGAAGGAGTCCATGTCGTTTGCAGGGAGCATGCGCAAAGACACAACATGGCTGCCTTGAGTGCACCGGGCCCCGGGTTCCATCCCCAGCAGCACAAAGAAAAGCAACAAATATTGAAATCCAAAGGGCAACAGGCACACATCAGGCCATAAAGGGCACTGTAAGCCACATTACACTTCTAGGAGTTTCTAGAAGGTACTGATGACACACTCCTCTGAGGCCTTCAAGACAATTAAGACACGATTAACAGATGTAAAGTCCATGTAGCTTGCCTGGACTCTTCCTGCTGGACCCTTTGTTCCCTAGAATCTCACCAAGACTCCCCACCCTCTTGGGTTAAATGTTGGGTGTTAGCCAATCAGGAGAGGCTGTGAATCCCGAGGCTGACCAATACAGGTAAGGGGGTGGGGAACAAAAAGAAGTGGCAAAGTGAGAGAGGTAAAACTGGAGGCATGGGCATCAGTTATGAAACTGGATTGTGTTCTTTCTCTCTTTCCTTCCTTCCTTCCTTCCTTCCTTCCTTCCTTCCTTCCTTCCTTCCTTCTCTCCTTCCTTCCTTCCTTCTCTCCTTCCTTCCTTCCTTCCTTCTTTCCTTCCTTCCTTCCTTCTCT